AGCTGATAACATCTCACATGAGCAGATGAACATACAGTGGAGTGGCTGGCCGCTTTATGTCCCAGGGTGCCCTCATGTCTGTGTTACCTTCTGGCTCTCCCTTTTAGTTATGCTGTCATAGCTAGTATTGCTGGAGTCCCTGCTTGCACTCTGTATGCAACGTACATTGTCCTTAACCATTACATGACAATCAGCATACCTAACAATCTCTCTCTTTCCCTCTCCCTCTCTTTGTTGAGCTACCCATGCTACTCCTGAGATACCAGGGACCCCTTCAGATCTCCGGACCTGCCTGTTCCAGCCTGATGCCCTACTTCTGGTTGGAGTTCTCATCATTTGGATGGCCCCACATATGGACAACCTAAAGATACATGAGATTACTGTGGATGGTACCACTTAAAAACCATGAAGATGGCTTTGGACTGCAATTGATATGAATAGTTTTGCTATGATAGCTTTAGGACTGCAATTCCCATGAACAGTTTCTCCATCAGTGAACAGTTTAATAATTTCAACAAAATACAATTCATGTTAATATTATAATGAATTTCACAATTGCACATGTTGACCATGTAGTACACAGTTATAGAAGGGATTTATTTATAATTGCACTATTTTGTCACCCAGATGAGGATGGGTTCCTTTTTGAGTCTGGTTCCTCTCAAGGTTTCTTCCTCATATCGTCTCAGAGAGTTTTTCCTCGCCACCGTCACCTCTGGCTCACTTATTAGGGATAAATTTATAAATTTAAAATTTATATATTTCTGTAAAGCTGCTTTGTGACAATGACCATTGTTAAAAGTGCTATACAGATTAAATTTAACTGATTTAACTTAACTGAACATAACTAAAACTTACTTGCTTTTATAATTACTTTGACAGATCACAGATGGTTTTCTTCCTTGCTTGATAAAATATTCCTAAACCCCTGAAAAACAGCAACAACAAAAAAAAAAACCATTCTAATGTGTGACGTAACTCCTAATGAATGCTGAGTCTGTCAAATCTATAACACGGTCCTGTATTAACTAAACACTTTTTCGTCGTTTTTAAGACAGTTACAAAATAATAATCAGTTTAGTATTCGAACAGATTACTTGATTGTTTGATTTTTCTGTTCAGTGGAACGTTAATGGAATGTTGCCAGCTTCGCCGTTCTGAACTCTACAACTCTTGCTGCTGTGCCAAGCACGTGAAGCCAACTGTGACTCCTTTTTTTAATTAATTCATTTATTTTTTTTAGCATTGTTAGCATCCCGCTAGCGATGTGGGCTAAGCTAAGCGCTAAAAGTTCGACAGTTAATCAGTGTTCCTGTTCCCTAAATGACATGGTTTGTTTACTCTATCCTTTTTTTGGACCACACGATGTAAATAGTCCGTTTAAACGTGCGAGCCGTTACATAACAACTGTCCTACCCGGAACTGCGCTTCGCGTTGGTGCATCGGGGGGCGTGGCTAGTGGCGTTGCTACGTCGCCATTCGCCATGCTCTACAGTAGTGGGTGTGGTTACGCGGTTCATTCACAAATCTCTGGGGCTGCAGCACGAGTACACGTGCAAAGATAAACGCCATGTTGCCAGATTGGGGATAAAGATTCCCAATTTTTTTTTAACGGCCTACAACTGTAAATTCGGAAGCCATGATTTATTAAAAAAAAAAAATTAGCATCCCTGTTATTTTAGGGTTTGTGTGTGTCAGTTGGGAGGTTGTGTAGTTAATTTAGATACAAGTAAAATTTATGATTAACCAGGAGTCATATGAACCAATCTGGCAACAGGGACAATAAGAAAATAGCGTGTAAAGTAAATCAGTCTTTATTTTGGTAGTGGAATGGAGTTTTGTGTATGTGTGTGTGTGTGTGTGTGTGTGTGTGACTGAAAGTGAGCTGTGGGATAGTGTTACTCAATATGACCGTTTTATGAGTTCCTACATAATGAATCATTTGCAATGTGATATGCTTTTGTTTAAGAGACATATGGGCTGAATCCTGAATGCCCCCTGTTCCCTAAACAAATGCACTATATAGGGTATTAAATGACTGATAGCGTATCGCCATTTAGGATTCTGCCATCCAGTACAATGCTTTGAGTTACAGAAATAGAAGGAAACGTGGGATATCTGCTATTATAAGATTTGATTGATTGATACACACTTGTTTAGTACTTATGATTTACTAATTTACAGGGGGCATGGTGGCTTAGTGGTTAGCACTGTTGCCTTGTACCTCTGGGGTTGGGAGTTTGAATCCTGTGTGTGTGCGTGTGCGTGTGTGCGTGGAGTCTGCATGTTCTCCCCGTGCTTCAGGGGTTTCCTCTGGGTCCTCTGGTTTCCTCCCCCAGTCCAGAGACATGCCTTGTATGCTGATTGGCATTTCCAAATTGTCCATGGTGTGTGATTGTGCCCTGTGGTTGTTTGGCACCCTGTCCAGGGTGTCTCCTGCCTTGTGCCCCAACTCCCCTGGGGCTCTCTGCAACCCTGTGTAGGATAAGCAGTATGAAAATATTTTATATGAGATATTTTATAATCTTTATTAGACCTACTGAGAATGAAGCTATTATTAGAGAGGGTAGTAGTGTAGCAATATACATTAGAACATGATAAGGTATTCAATAAAAAAAAAAAAAACCAGGGTTCCATAGATTTCAAATAATTACTGTTTCGTACATAAAGGTGCAGTTTGTAATATATAAAAGCTTTACTACACTTATAAAAAGCATATAATTCTAAAGATATCGTAGTAAAAGTGTGAGTGTTAACACTGGCATGCAATTAATCTATTGTTTTTCTCAGTGTGTGTGTGTGTGTGTGTGTGTGTGTGTGTATTTCTCAGTCTGAACACTAGACAGTATAGTTAGTATACTCAAACTTTGGCTAGAATAATATATGAGTATGTTGTTTGAGACATAGTCATGGACTCCGTAACTGTTCTCTTATTATTTTACATTTTAATGATGTCATATCAATTCACTTATTGCTTCTATTATAATCTGAGGATAATTTCAGCATCTGAATATAATCTTATGCAAATAACTCACCAAGAATGACAGTACAAATGGAGTCTCAAATCGACCTGTGAAAAATGCGTGCTATTTAGTACTATCTATCTATCTATCTATCTATCTATCTACACTATATGGCCAAAAGTTTGCAGACACCTGACCATCACACCCATACTTTTGGCCATATAGCCTATCTATCTATCTATCTATCTATACTTAACCCTGGAAAATAGTTTTCTGCCATAAAATTTGGCTATAAATCTGAGAGACTGAAATCTTTTGTGTTTAGCCTTGTGTTTAAACTGTGTGTTTTGTTTGTTAGCACACAGCCTCGAATTCCAGACAAGCAATCAACACATGAATCCCAAAAGACTGTAAACCTTTCTATGTAGGATATAAAATAACAAGTGTACTGTATAAAGTCATTTGGGATTCAGCCCAGGAGTGTGGGCTCTCAGACACTAAAGCACACGTCAAACACGTGTGGGCGTGGTCAAAACGTGGTGTTGGGGTCACTGGCCAATCACAGGCAAGCTGTTCGATTACTGGCCAGTATGCATCCGGAGAGCAGCCAGTGATTGGCCGCGCGTGGTTGGGCTTCAATTCGGCACGTGTATCCGAGCACATGCTGACGTTGAGAGAAAAGAAAAAAAAGAAGGAGGGAGCGAGGTGGAAAGCGGCGAAGGAAACACGAGTTAATCCCGCTGACCGACGCTCGTCTGGCTGAGCCTGAAAGCCTGAAAGGAGTCGCTGGTTTGCAGCCGTTTTTGAGGTGAGGCTACTGCATTATTTTACTCCTGGAATTAAGAAAGCCGTTTGAATAGAACAGAAAAGGCATCACTCTGAGCGCGCGAGTATTCAGTAGCAGAGAGAAAAACAGTCCCGTAGAAACGGTTGCTTTTGTCCTCCGTTCCTGTTTTACTGACTTCAATTAATGCGCACTTCTTTCCATTTATAATTCGCGTGGCTGAATTTACTCTTTCTTTTATTTCAGTGGCAGCATGGACCGGTTGAGCTGTTAAACCGTTTATCGTCCCCCCCTTTCTTTTATTCTGCTGAATCTGCAGTACTTTACTTTTCTTCTTCCTCTCCCAGGAATCTTTCAAAGAAGTTCCGGTGTTACTCGGATCTGTTTACCACTGCAACTTGTTTTTCATTCCAATATGTTCCCGTGAAAGCTTTTAACGTCATATCCTGTTTCCAAACGTAGGAACCGTGAATGCATTACAACATCGTGTTGCATTATATCAGAATGGGATGACAGATTTGTAGGTGGCGCAACGTGTTATTTATACATACATACATATATAATTTTATGATAATGCCACGTGACTCCCTATTGGGAGTCTTGCACCTCCAGGATTGGGGGTTCGATTCCCACCTCGAACCTGCATGCGTGGAGCTTGCATGATGTCCCCATGCTTCGGGGGTTTCCTCCGGGTACTCCGGTTTCCTCTCCCAGTCCAAAAACATGCATTGTAGGCTGATTGGCATCTCTAAATTGTCCGTAGTGTGTGAATGGGGGTATGCGCGATTGTGCCCTGCGATGCATTGGCATGCCATCCTTGTGCCCCAAGTTTCCTGGGATAGGCTTCAGGTTCCCCGTGACCCTGTGTAGGATAAGTAGTACAGAAAATGGATGGATGGATGGACGGACTACCTATTGGACATAAGATTGACACTGAGATTTGTATCCTGTAACAGCCTACAAGTCTGTTTCTCTGCATGTCCATGCCAATACCAGTATCAGAGCTCTGAGTGTTGACTGATCCGAGACTCACATCCTCAGAGTAACCAAGCAACTTTCTGCAAGCAATTTGTTGTTCTTCTTTGGGCTGCTCCCATTAGGGGTCGCGACAGTGGCTCATTGGTCCACATATTTGATTTGGCACAGTTTTTACATCAGATGCCCTTCCTGACACAACCCTCCCCAATTTTATCCGGGCTTGGGACCGGCACTGGGAGTGCACTGTCTTGTGCAACCCCAGTGGCCAGGGTTGGTTCCCTGGCCAGGAATCGAACCCGGACGACAGCGGTGAGAGTGCCGAGGCCTAACCATTAGTCATCCAGGGACACAACTTTCTGCAAGCAAGTAATGCGAAAAATTAAAGGTGTGATGGTGATGTGCTTTAGTGTGCACAGGACTAATTTTTAAACCCACTCGCATCCACTCATGAGAGATGTGGACAAATCACTAGACCAGGCACCTGAGACAAGCAGATTTCATGTCTGGGCTATTAGTTTTTTATTCTTAGTTGCCTGGCAGACAAGTAGACTCAACAACTAGAGAAAGCAAATATACTTCCCAACTTTCATACAACAAATAGATTTTAACACACGCATGCTACTCATTCAAAATCCTAATGCCTACCACACCACACATATCAGCCAAGGCATAATATGTCTGACAGTAGAATGATTGTTATTGGATGGATTCATTAATGTGCACAGATGACAGACGATCTTTTCAGAATCAGGAACATGCAGGTATGTGGAAACACTGAAGTAAAAAATGCATTGCAGAGTTGTCATATAATTACTCTGATGGCACAGTAGGCTCCACACAATAGCCAGACTCAAATAACATCCCTTACTTGCAGTGCGAGGAGAGAACACCACAGCTCATAGTCGAAACCTTCACGAATGTCTTTGTGATGCTCTATAATTTGTCGATGCACTACATCAAAAACGTTATCAGGAGAGGATACGGACTATTGCTACACAGTCGTTCCCTCCCCAGGAATTCATATACTCGTTTTTTTTCCTTAGTCTGTTTTAATGCACTTAACTACCTAACTAGCTCTCCATATTACATTTGACCGGGAACTAGTGAAGGATTTAGAATTTATGCACCCTGACTTTCTCCTTAGCTTAAAATCCAGTGAAGACAAATGTGTGAACAGTAATTGATATAAAAAGTAGAAGCTTATTTAGCTAATCTTCAGGGGAGCTGGCTACCAAACCAATCTTCAAAGCAAATTCTAAATTGACTTCTATACTATACCTTTTGGCCATATAGTGCACTCTTCTTTTGGTCCCTATCTAGCATCTGATGAGGGTGACCTTGTACCCACCCCTGGAGCCTGGCCTGGTGACCAGGCCACCCATGTAACTAGGTCTGGTTCAGCCCAAAGAGGTGAAATGGAACCATCTTGTGGGCTAACTACCTGCAAAATGAAGGCTGGGGATGTGGTGAAATGCCAGTCAGGCTGAAGACATGTGATGGACAGCCTTAAATGGATTAGACCCTTGCAGTGGAAACTGGCTTTGGGAACGTGGAATGTCACTTCACTGGAAATAGAGTGCGATTAAGTGTGCGACATGGAAAGGTAGAGACTAGATTAGATTAGATTCAACTTTATTGTCATTGTGCAGAGTATGAGTACAGAGCCAATGAAATGCAGATAGTTTGTGCTGGAAGTCACCAGCGGTTAGCAAAGATGTCATGTTGAAGAAGGAGGCCTTCTGAGTAGTGCTGATGGAGAGCACTCCTGAGTCAGCTAGAGGTATGGGAGAGCCAGAAGGGCTGAAAGCACAAGCAGTTAATGTACAGACTAAAAGCAGTAATATCTCCCTCCACTCCCTTCACTAGTGCCTCACCATCTGAGGGGTGTGTCTATCTACAGTGCAGGTTGAAAATGAACCTGACAATCATGAAATCATGAACTGTATATAAAACTTTCTTCTTATTCAAGTTGCCATCTCATAAACCTATTTCTAAAATGGCATTCTGAATTAAATGTTCTTGTAAAGTATGATAGACTTTTGAAGTTAAAATATTCCTTATTTTTCCTCTATTTATCGTGGTATCCAATGACACACATTTCCACTCAAATGTGCTAATTTAAAAAAAACAGTACTTATCTATCAAATCAGAGACGAAATGTTCAGAATTAGCTGAAACTTGCATCAGAGAAAGATGAGCGGCAGTTATAAAAATCTTTTAAGCTGATTAGCTAATTGTCCTGTATAAGCTTTCATTTTGATGAAAATGTTTAATAGAATAGCCTCTACATGTTAGCCTGTTGCACCACTCGGGAGAAGTTAGTATTATTATTAATATTACTACTACTACTAGTACTACTGCTACTATTAATTAGTACCAGATAGGGCAAACTGGTTTATTATAGCACTCATTCCACTATTGGAGTTAATTCGTGTAAACACAGTGTGGACTGTGGTGACTGATTTTCATGGGCAAATACCTGAAACCTCTTTCACATATGCACTTTAATACAAGAAATCGACAATTAAACAGAAAGGGGTTCGGCGTGAATGCAAGCAAGAGGTGACATCCTGAGAAGATTGACATGGCAATCGACCAAGCTTCCTCAAACCTGTGGAGAGGATCTTGTGTGAGCAATTGACAATAATTTACAGAGAAATAGAATGACGTGTTGATGACTACTTATCCAACGCCCACTGACCCAATATGAGACAGAAGATTTAACACATTAGCATGGTGACATGCCAACAGGAGGGAAATTTCTAAAAGGAGTGAAGTAGAAGAACAGGAGAAATGTCTGGAATCTGAAGTGATTCAGAAATGAAGGAACTGTTGGCCGTTCCTTTATTTCTGGCCAGATGCATTTATTTGTTTTAAGGCACTTGATCGTGTTTAACAGATCTTTGAGGATGAATGTGAATCTCTGAATCCCATTAAAATACCTGACACAAAGCCTGAAGAGACCCAGCAAAGATATACCCATAATATTTAGGGTTTTGTAGTGTAAAATAGGCTTGTCAGTTGGATTTTTGAGTTCCACATCATGCTTGGTCATTCCGTACATCTCTCAGGTTGTTAGCTACTGCATTCCACTGGCACTGACCAAGCTGGTTCTTGTTTTGGAGTAACACGTGTTCGCAGATCCACAGACACAAAAGTGTAATTTGGCCATATGAAGCCACGAAGAGAGTGCAAATCGGGCTGGGAAGGTGGGAGTAGACAATCAGCCAGGCTGTGTGTGTGTGTGTGTGTGAGTGCATGTGCGCGCGTAATGCACACACACACACAGTTCCATTTCCCAGGGAGGTTCAGCAATGGTGCGATACTCCCATTGAACTGATGCTGAGTGCAACCTGCTGCTGTTTCTTTTTTTTTTCTTCTTCTTCTTTTTAATATTTGATAAATGACCTTAAGTGATGAAATTGTTATTATTATTTTTTCAAATCACTTCTTTTCCTCTCTCCATGTCTCTCTGTTTCCCCTTTTCAACTCTCTCTCTCTCTCTCTCTCTGTCCCTCAGTCATGCAGTCAGTAGAAAGCACCTCCTGTCAGGCGTCACCCGATTGTCTAAACTTTGGGGACGACGACTCTGAAGTCTTCCTGTCAGAGGATGAGAGGTCAGAAGTCACTGGAGGTCACAGTAGATCAGCCTTGCCCTCCTCTTCCTCGGGACTGGGATGGAGCAGCACAGAGAGTGAGCGGGAGAAGGAGAACAAGACAGTCGGGGGCACAGAGGGAGACCTGCTGTTTGCCCAGAAAGTGAGGACATATAACATTATTTATACATGCATACAATATATTTATAAATGCATACAGTATATTCATATCAATTCAATTTAATTATTATTTATGTGTATGTATATATATATATATATATATATATATATATATATATATATATATATATAGCACTTTTAATAATGGCCATTATCACAAAACAGCTTTACAGAAAGCTATATATGGATTTAGATCTAGAACTATTAATGAGCAAACCAGAGGTGATGGTGGCAAGGAGCAACTCCCTGAACTGACATGAGGAAGAAACCTTGAGAGGAACCAGACTCGAAAAGGAACCCATCCTCTTCTGGGTGACACTGGAAAGTGCGATTTTGAGTCATTACTCTTCCACAACTGTATGATGTAAAGTCAAACAGTACTAAATGAGTTTAAAAAGTACTTCAGTATGTGCATCAGGGCCTTTTTTGATTTTGTTAGAGTTTATAGCTTTAAATCTATATTATCCAAGTGAAGTTGTCCACTGGATAATGAATGAGACTTGGGTATAGACTGTTTTCAGTAAATGCAATCTTTAGGCTATCCAACTGAAACCATACACAACAGTCTTTAGATTATCCATGTGGTATGATCCAGGTTAGTCTCACAGTAATCTTTAGGCTATCTGTGTAAGGCCATCCTGAGCAGCAGTGCAGGATTCTCAGGTGAAGGAAGCTCCAAGCAGAAGTAGAGCATCAGGATGGATCAGACAGGTCCAGAGGCAGAAGGAGTCAGAGTCATCAGTCAGCAAGAGTAACCTTTATCTCAACAGAGAGAGGTGGAAAGATTGAGAACAGATTATTAGGTATGGTCTTTTTATACAGTGGTTTAATGTACATCCTCATTATGTGCAGAGTACAAGCAGAGACTCTGGCAAGACCAGCTATGACGGTGTACCTAAAAGGGAGAGCCAGAAGGTAACACAGGCAGGAGAGTAACCTCTGATTGAAGCAGGCATAGTGGCTCATGAAAGACCAAAATTTTGATCAGGTACTGTGGTACGAGACCATTCAATGCTTTATAGGCCATTAGATCTGATTTGGCTCTAGGAAGGACTCTGGCTGCTGCATTCTCGATTAACTGGAGCTTGTTTATGCACCTACTGGAACATCCAGACAGCAAAGGATTACAGTAGTCCAACTTAGAGATAACAAAAGCATGATCTAGTTTTTTTTTTTTTTTTGCATCATAGAGTGGACATAAAAAGTGTACACACCCCTGTTAAAATGACAGGTTTTTGAGATGTAAACAATGACACCAAGACTTTTTCCACCTTTAATGTGATATAGCTACCAACAAAATTCAAGTGAAAGTGAAGTGTTTTAGGGAAAAAAGATACAATAATCTGGTTGCACAAGTGTGCACACCCTTTTATAATGGTGCATGTAACTGCGCCCAGAATTAACCACTCGCATTCAAACTCATGTAATTACCATATCAACTCTATCAATCAGTTATCACCTCATCAATGAAGCAATTCTGATTAACCCCAAATAAAGATCAGCTGTTTCTGTTGGATTTTCTTGACATCTTTTTGGTTTCATCCACATGCTGAAGCCATGGTCCACAAATA